AGCTGACTCTGAGACACCTCATTCAGTGTCACCCTTGACCTTGGTTTCCCCCCCACCCCCGGGTGTATCCTAATTCCTATTCTCCAATGGGACACCTCCCTAGCCCAGCTGCTCTCCAGTTAGAATTTTGCCTGGCAGAAACTTCAGTCCCCTAGTTATATCTTTGAAAACATTTATGGAATGCACTTTCGGTTTGCAAGCTGCCGCACTGCTCCCCCCACCCTTTCTGTTGGCAACTCTAAAAAGACCATAGAAATATTTTATGAGTTGACACAGTGTGTGTCAGCCTGGCCACTTTACATTGTGTGGATTTCAGCTCCCAGAATTCCCCAGCCAGCATAGTATAGCATAGCATAGCATTCTTTATTGGCCAAGTGTGGTTGGACACACAAGGAATGTGTCTTGGTGCAAATGCTCTCAGTGTACATAAAAGAAAAGATACATTCATCAAGAGTTAAGAATCATCAGGGACAACACTTAATAATAGTCATAGGGGACAATAAGCCATCAAATCATACAAAGAAACAGTCCATATAAATCGTAAGGATACAAGGGACAAAGTTACAGTCATGCAGTCACAAGTGGGAGGGGATGGATGATAAGGAGTGATGGGAAGATTAACAGTAATAGTAGTGCAGACTTAGTAAACAGTTGGACAGTGTGGAGGGAATGATTTGTTTAGCAGAGTGATGGCTTTTGGGGAAAAACTCCCCTTGTGTCTAATTGTTCTGGTGTGCAGGGCTCTCTAGCGTCGTTTTGAGGGAAGGAGTTGAAACAGTTTATGTCCGGGATGTGAGGGGTCTGTAAATAGCATGGCATGGCATGGCATGGCATGGCATGGCATGGCATGGCATAGCATAGCATAGCACAGCACTGCTGGCTGGGGAATTCTGGGAGTTGAAGTCCACGAAGTGGTCAAGCTTGAGAAAGCCTGCATTAGAGGCCGATCCTCCTCTCGGTGGCATCAGAGCTGAGTGCGAGACGTTGCCCTCTCTCCCTGAACGAAAGGCGCATGCGTGCACATTTCCATTTGCCCAGCATTTTGCTGCAGCGCCGCGGAGCTATGAAATATGCATTTGTTTCCCCGAGGCCTGGAGCAGCTCTCCAGGCAGGGTTGGTGGGGGGGGGGTGATTTCCTGTGGCTTGAGCCGTGGAATGTGGGAGCGGGGTGGTCAAGCCTCTGAGTGCTGCCCAGGTGGGGCCCATAAAACGTGTGGCACGTGAGCGATCCCCCTGCTCTGCTTCCTCAGGTTTTCCCGCATCATTTGGGCACCGGTTCGTGGTTTTTTTTCCAACGGGTTTGGTTTGGAGGCACGCTGCATACCTCTTTAAAAAGACAAAATGCCTTAAGGAGCTGGTAGTGCTGTGAAAGAGCCCTCCCTCCTGCCATCCTCTTTATTTAGAGTTGCTCGGGGATTTTTAATGATCCGGTGGGCTGGAAGGCTTAATGCTCCTGGGCCTCCCAAGGCCCCTCCAGTTGCATCCTTGGGAAATTAAAAATGGGAAATGACTCAGGCTAGAAACAGGCTCACCTGAATGAGTAAGTTAAGTAAGCCAGGATGGAAGATCCAGTGGGAGGGTTACAACCCAGGCCCTGCGCTTTGCGTATAAGTAGCCGCGCTGTTGTGTGTGCCATTTTGTTAACATATAAGCCCCTCTCCCCATTGCCCCCTCTCTGCCTCCCCTAGTCATTGTGTGATGGCTGGCATCGCACTCTCCAACCCTGAGTCCTGTGGGTTCCCAGCAGCTTTCTTCCCCCGCTGCAGAGTTTTGCCCCTTCCTGAAAGAATTCCTCGCAGGTTAAATAGATGCTGAACTTTGTCTGCTGGAAAGGTGTGAGACCTGAGCATCATGGGATGGGGTGAGCTCCTGTTCCTTGCTCCAGCTCTTGCCCACGCCGCAGTTCGAAAGCAGGCACATGCGAGTAGATGAATAGGTTTTTAAGAAGACATTGGACAACCATCTGTCTGAAATGGTATAGGGTTTCCTGCCTGGGCGGATGATTGGACTACAAGACCTCTAAGGCCCCTTCCAACCTTCCGTTACTCTCAGTTATTCCTTGAGCCCTGGTGGGCCAGTGATTAGAATGCAGCATGGCAGGTTGACTCTGCCCATTGCCAGCAGTTTGATCCTGACCTGCTCAAAGTTGACTCAAACTTTTGTCCTTCCAAGGTTGGTAAAACAAGGATCCAAATTGTTGTGGGCAATTGTTGTGTAAACTACTTAGAGAGGGCTGGAAAGCACAGCTTAAGTCTAAGTGGTACTGCAGTTGCTATTGCTGTTCTGTTCAACCAGGGTTGGGAGATACTAATACACCCTATGAAGCCTTAGTAAGACCACACCTGTTGAGACTCTAGAAAGAGTACAGAGAAGAGCAACCAGGATGATGAGGGGACTGGAGGCTAAAACCTACGATGGACGGTTGCAGGAACCGGGCCTGGCTAGTCTAGGGAAGAAAAGGACCAGGGGAGACAGGAGAGCAGCCTCCCAATATTTGAGGGGCTGCCCCAGAGAGGAGGAAAGGGGGTCAAGCTATTTTCTAAAGCACCTAAAGGCCAGAGAAGGAACAATGGATGGAAACTGAACAAGGAGAGATTCCACCTGGAAATAAAGAGGAATTTTCTGACAGTGAGAACAATCAACCAATGGAACAAAAGTTGCCTTCAGAAGTTGTGGGAGCTTCATCCCTGGAGGCTTTCAAGAAGAGACTTGAGTGCCATTGGTCAGAAATGGTTTAGAGTCTCCTGCTTGGGTGGGGGTTGGACTAGATGACCTACAAAGTCCCTTCCGACTCTGATTATCTGTTACCTGGGGAATTCTGGGAGTTGAAGTCCATTCATTGTACAATTGAATGCAGGATGCCATTTTGCAGTGTGCGCCTCCCAGAATTGTGCGTGAACCTTCTCAACCCCCCCCCCCCCCCCCTGCCTCCTTCCCCCAAATTGGCGAAAGTGAAGGCAGATGCACCTGGTGTGTTTTTTCTCCAAGCCTGCTGTGTGAACGCAGCTCGCGCTGTGTTCTTCTTCCGCATCCACCTGGGAGGCGGGCCTGCGCTGCCCCACGTCTCCTGTCACCGTCGTGCAAATCTAAAATTTGCACCAGCCCCATTGCGAGACGTAGAGAAACTCTTCCCACGAGGGCCGTGAACAGACCGAAGGCCGCAGTTTGCCCACCTGTGCTCTGCAAAAGGTGTCCACCTCTCCTTCCCCACCCCCACCCCGGATATTTACAAATTTTAAGATTTCCTCCCTGGGATAAATTTCTGTGATAAAAGCATCCACCAACCCCAGAGTGCATTGATTCCTACATGTGCCTGGGGGTGTAATGGGGGCCCCCACCATCATTTCCACTTAGTTACGGGAAGCGTTTCCTTGCGAGCTGCCTATCCTCTCGCAAGGCTCATTGGCCGTAATTAGCAGAGCTTTTGAGAGCCACCTGAGCAACCCAGGAGGAAGAGATCTCATTGACATGGATGCTGGGGGGCGGGGGGGAATATAAAGGCAACATTAGCAGTAAAGCAGAATATTTCTACTGTAGCTCAGGGTTGAAACGAGGGGTGCTTGGTGCTAGTTTGTGTTTTGTTACCCAAACAAACTAGGTAACACCATCAGTGCTAGTCAGGAGTGGGGTTTATTCTCAGTTTATATTCTAGATAATAATATTATGGAACATAAACTGAGAGCAAACCACACTAGCACTGATGATGTTACCTAGCTGGGCAATGAAATGTCTGCAAGAAAACAACCATGCTCAGAGAATACTAAGGGCCCCACAGTTGTCGTCCTCCTCCCCCTCCTCTTCCTTCTTCCTCCTCATGTTCTCCTTCTCCTCATTATGCCCTCCTCTTCCTCCTCCTTCCTCTCCCTCCTCTTCTTCCTCATGTCCTCTTCTTCCTCCTCCTCATGTCCTCCTCTTCCTTATGTCCTTCTCCTCTTTCTCCTCCTTCCTCCCACTCTTCTTCCTTCCTCCTCATGTCCTCCTCCTTATGCCCTCCTCTTCCTCCTCCCTCCCCCTCCTCTTCTTCCTTGTCTTCCTCCTCTTCATCTTCCTCCTCCTCCTCCTCATGTTGTCCTCTTCCTTATGTCCTTCTCCTCTTTCTCCTCCCACTCCTCTTTTTCCTTATGTCCTCATCTTCCTCCTCCTCCTTATGTCCTCCTTCTCCTCTTCCTCCTCCTCCCTCCCTCTCCTCTTCTTCCTTATGTCTTCCTCCTCCTCCTCCTCCTCCTCCTCCTCCTCCTCTCTCGGCAAACCCCACTCCCTTCTAGCCCCGATGAAGTTCCCTGGTTGGCTAATGAAACGTCTGCAAGGAAACAGCCAAGCTCAGAGAGCCCCCTCGGAGGCAAAAATAAATGCCCGGCACAGGAAGGAAACTTTTCAAGGCCCGGAGCAGCTTGGCTGGAGGGCCAAAGCACTCTGCACATGTTCACTCTTCCTGCCATTTTACCTCCCACACAGCCGAGCTCCCGTCAACCTCATACACTTCAATTAAGTATATATATCAATCGTTAAACTTTCCTCCGTCTGAGACCAGGGTCAAAGATTCATTGCCTTGTTTCAAGATGACCAGGACAAAATAAAAAACGTAGCAGCTCCATAAAAATTGTTTAACAGGAAATACAATAATCCAGAGTCATCAAAGGGAAGAGCATTTATTCTTCTCCCCCTACACCCTCTCAGCCTCTTCCCCGAGCAGCCAGCAAATGGCTAACCCAAATTTTACTACCTGGTGCACCATTTAGGAGGCTTTCTCTGCAAGTAAATAGTTGACATTAAAAGTCCACCTGCAAATGTTGGTTTTAAGGGGGCTGTTGAGGTCTCAATTAAACTCCTGCTCTGAGCCCAGAAGAGACCAGGATGGTTTGGAGGGAGACCTTTCTACTCTATTTTTGACCTGCGTGAATCTGTTGAAAACTTTGGGGAAGAAAATACCCTCCTGTTAGCAAGGTTTTCCTTGGGCCTTCTTTGCTCACTCTTTCTCTTCTCCTTCTTCCTCTTTCTAGCTGGCACGACGTACATTTTCGGCAAAGGAGGGGCGCTGATTACATATATTTGGCCCCCGAATGACCGTCCGAGCACGCGGGCTGACCGGCTGGCCGTGGGATTCAGTACGCACCAGAAGAACGCGATTCTGGTGCGGGTGGACAGTGCCTCTGGACTCGGCGACTACTTACAGCTGCACATAGTAAGAAAGTGGGGTCCTTAACGGGAGAGGGGGAACGATTGGTGAGGTATCGGAGGAGATAGTTGCTGCCCCTCTCTCTCTTGACTTCCACTTGAAATATTTTTGGGAGTAATGCAATGAAACGGAAAGACGGCTTGCGGTGATGTAAAATTCCTCTTTTCCCCATCCTTTTTATTCTTCAGAATCTCTTCCTTATTGAGCTGGATAGAGTGGTACCTTGGTACTTATAATTAAGTGGTTCTGAGAGGCGAGATGAATACCAAAGAATTTTTTCCTTTAAGGAGTAACGTGGGGAATCACAAGGCAGCCAATATTGGCAAGTTCTAGCTTATGTGTCGAATACCAAGCAAACGATGAACATCGGGACAAAATGTCCGTGTCAAAACGCGCTGAGTCCCAGATTCGACGAATTTCAAAGCAACCGAGTACCAAGATACCACTTACTTTAAGACGGGGGGAAATGAATGTTCCTCCCACACGGAAGTGGAAGACAAGCAGCTTGGGATATATCTTATTCGACTGGTTCATTTATCCTGCCTCTTCTCCAAAATCCAAGGAGCTCTACTTATATCCTTTGTTCCTCTACTTTATCCCCCACAACAATCTTGCAAGGCTGGCCGGATTGATAGTTTCCCCATCCCATCCCATCCCTTCCCCGTTTCCCCCCACTCCCCCGGCAGCCATTTTCCAACTCAACTCAACCCTGGACTCGAACCTGGCTCTCCTCATTCTTCCTCCACCACTTAAACCGCGAAACCACCCTGCCTTCTAGGAAATTGGGGTAGAGAGTGTGTCTCTGTGTGTGTGTGTGTGTGCAGCCCAATCTGCCATTTTGGAAATCTTTCCCTGATCCATGTGGGGCCCTGAGCCTCTCTTGGAAATAAAACTAGATGGCAGCCATCTTTTCAAACTGGCCCCCACCAGATGTGTCCAAAGTTTTCAGAGCCACAAAAGTGGACATCCAGCCCAACACCCTGAAGACTCAAAATCAAACGGGCTGGAGTCTTCAGGGTGTTGGGCTGGATGTCCACTTTTGTGGCTTTGAAGACCCTCGATTTTTGCATCCCCATTTAACTAACCTGGTTCCTGAATGACCCGTTTTCCGACTCAACTAACCTGCTGGCCTTTAAGCTACCCTAACAAGAGTGGCACTGTGTGAACATCGCTTTGCCAGTCGGGGGAGAGGGGGCCACGGGCAACTCACTCAAACCAATTTGGGTAATTTATTCCATTTGAGTCTGTCACAGCAACCAAACAGTTTATTCTTCCAAGCTTGGAAGTTTGCTGAGGATGCGCTCCAGCACAATACCAATAGCAACAACACTTATATACCACTTCGCAGTGCCCTACAGCCCCCTCTAAGCGGTTTACAGAGTCGGCCTCCTACCCCCAACAATCTGGGTCCTCATTTTACTGACCTTGGAAGGATGGAAGGATGAGTCAACCTGGAGCCAGTCAGGATCGAATTGCTGGCAGTTGGCAAAGTTAGCTTACAGTACTGCATTCTAACCATTGTGCCACCATGGCTAGAATAGAATAGAATAGAATAGCATGGAATGGAATGGAATGGAATAGAATAGAATAGAATAGAATAGAATAGAATAGAATAGAATAGAATAGAATAGAATAGAATAGAATTAGAATAGAGTAGAGTAGAGTAGAGTAGAGTAGAGTAGAGTAGAGTAGAGTAGAGTAGAATAGACATTGGAATGAAGGAAGAGAAGAGAAGAGAAGAGAAGAGAAGAGAAGAGAAGAGAAGAGAAGAGAAGAGAAGAAAGGCAACTATGCCGTTCTATAAGGAATCGGCGCAGGAAGGATTCTTGGCGTTAAGCAATGACCAGCAGTGTGATTGATGCAGCTGAAAAAAAAGCTAATGCGATTTTTAAACATTTCCAAATAAATGTTCCATTTGAAGACCTCAATTTATAGCAGTTCACTGAGAGGCCGTTCAAAGTTACAAAGGCACTGAAAAAAGGGACTTGTGACCTCTTTTCACACTCAGCGACCATGGCAGCATCCCCAGGGTCACGTGATCAAAATTCAGCCACTTGGCAGCTGATTCCTATGTATGATGGTCGCAGTGTCCCTGGGGTCACACGATCCCCTTTTGCAACCTTCCAGAGCCAGATTCACTTAACAACCGTGTGACTTAACAACTGCATTGATTCACTTAACAACTGTGGCTAGAGTGGTGGTAAAATGGGGCAAAGCTCACTCGGTAAATGTTTCACTCAGCAACAGAAAGCTTGGTCTCCATTGTGGTCATCAGTTTGAGGACTTCCTGCCCATCCTTTGCATGAATTTCTCTTTCTTTCTTTCTTTCTTTCTTTCTTTCTTTCTTTCTT